TTAATAGTGACAACAATAATTTTGAATGGAGTATCTAGTTCTAATCCTAACTTATGTATCAATTTGTTTGTAATGATACTAATAGCAGCTTCTAAATCAAAGATAGGACTTCTAACGATACTATTTCGATACCACTTCGATACCACTTCGATACCATTTCGATACTTAAATTTACTATAAAAACATATGAGTAAGTCACAACCCATATATTGAATTTACTATAGATCGGTACCATTTCGATACCAGTTTGATACCAGCTTGGTACTTTTTCAGAGTCCTAATCAAGGATGACAATTACAGGATTTCTTTTGATTCTGATATAGCATTTAATTAATGAGATTTTCCTTGAGTCATTTTCTAATTAAAGATAATTAGTTTCAACTGTTTTCTTTGGTCTCTTGAGGATCTTGACAAGATTTTTTCATTGGTTGGAATATTGAAGCATTTGTTCTACAGTAGCACTTGATTGTAACTTGAAAATATCTTCAGAAATATTATATTATATAAACTTATCAACTATAAATGATTAGAATTTCATTTTTGGCTTCTTTGTCTTGGACGCAATAGATTGTATTGAAGGAGATTAATAATAAACAAATGGATTTTTTATTTTTATTGATTGAATAGTATTTTTTTTTAATTACAAATCGAATTCTTTTGCTGATTCTAATTGTTTAACTTTTTCTTTCTGTTCTTTTCGATTAGTGGTATAGGATTGAGGTCTAACTTTTTGTTCCACAAATACAAGTTCTTCTTCTTTACTAGATATTTCTTTATCAAAGGTATCTTTATAAGATAATTTACACATTTGTTTTTCTTGATATATTATTTTGTTATTAATATTGTTATGAGAGCATAGGTCTTTCAGATAAACAGTTATAGGCAATATGTCCTATTTGGCCATATTTGAAACAAGTTCTTGTATTTTTTTGTGGTATATATGCTAGTGTCAATTTAAAAGTATCAGACTTGTAATATGATTTGTTCTTTCTTTTAACTTTGACAGAAATATTGTTAATTTAAGCTACAAGCTTTAGATACATTTTTTTAAACTTTTGGACAATATTATTCATTGAATCTTATAAAGCTTCTTTGTTTTTGAATCCAAAAGTCTTTTTTGGTTTGGCTCTAATAGGTTGTTTATAATTAATAAGATCTTAACTATTTTTATATTGTTAAGCAAGTAAAAATACTATATCAATATTTGCAGTTATAATTATAGCTACAAGAAAAACAATTTCAAGTCTCAATTCTCTGAGAAAGTGATAAAGTTTCTAAAGGTTTGATATGTTTTCTTCAAGGTTTACTCATTTTATAAATTTTTTAAAATATGTATAATAGAAATTTATAGATTCGAAGAGATTTTGTCTTCTCCTCTCTAAGTTTTTAAGCCATTTGTTTTGTTATTGTTAAATACAAAACTTTTCTTTGAATGTTGTTTCAAGATTTCCTGGTCTATAGGAATCTCTAGTATGATTAGTTCTATTATTAGTAACATATTTGATGCATCAGTCTTCAGCTTCATCATGGAGATAGATAGTTAGCATTTGTATCTTTTTTATTTGTTTTTATTTATTTACTTGACTTGTTTTAATAAAGACAGAAAATCAAATCAAATGATCTTGAGTTCCATCTCCAAAAAATGGTTCTATTTGAAAAACTTGAGTATTATTATTGGCTTTTAAATAATTAAATATATTTTGTAAAGTTGCTATAGTATTTAAAATAGTAGGTTTTTGAAATAATAAATCTAAATTTAAATCTTTGTAATTGAATAAATAATTAATAAAGAAATTTTCAGAAATGATATTGAAAATATTTAAAATATGTTCAAATGAATTAGAACTTGCATCTTCAAATAAATTATTCTTAATTAATTAGATAGTAAAATGAATATTAAGAAAAGAGAAAAGTTCAATAATTTTTATATCTGTAGGATTCAAAACAAAATTATAATAAATGTTAAATGCTTCAAAAATTTTTTTAATAATCTTATCTAAATGAACAAGTTCAGAGTATCTAATATATAAGATTAATTGTTCTACTGTACTGATATAAAAAAAGAAATTAATAATATATTGGACAAAGAAATGATAGGTTTTAAATAAATATTGGATAGCAAGAAATGTGATATAAAATCAATTTCAAAAGTGATCAAAGTAAATATTATAATTTTTGATAGAAGGAAAAAAAACAGTATAAGATTTGTCTGATTGTTTTTGCTGAAGAGTTTTCTTAGTTAATTCTAAATGTAATTAGTTATGCAAATAGTTAATACTTACAAATGTCTGATAATTTATCATAAATCTTTTATTACTAATATTCTTTTTATTAGATTTTGGATTCCAAATTACAGGTTTTCTCTTGCTGTAAATACCTTTAAACCTGAGCAAAGTTTTTATATAGTCTTTTTTAAGATTTATTTTTTTATAATTTTCTTAAAATAGATAAGCAATATCTTGCAGTCATCACCAATTTGTTTTCTATCTTAGGAAAAAGATAAAAACAGAGAACTAGTAACAGGGAGATACTTTAGATAGACAAGACTAATATGATATATTAAAGTTTTTAGAGATATACAAATTAGTACAATTCTGAAGTATATGAGATCAAGTGAAGAGACAATAATAATTTGTTTTGTAAAAGTCAAGTTATTTATTTAGTAAAATATAAGTTCAAGCCTATCAATTTTTAAATGAAATTAAAAACTTTATATATATATTTGAGTTATATTATTTTTGGATATGATAAATATATACTATAATAAAAATATAAACTAAGCTATAGATACCATCTTCATCAGAATATTCAACTGTATTAACATTCACTTTGATAAATATAATATAAAAAGTAAATATAAAATAAAATAGAAATATTCTAGAAATGGTAAATATGCAATAAATACAATAGATGCCAAAGATGCAGTAACAAATCTATAATATAAAACTATTCTAGAACAGTTAACATTTCAAGAGTAAATGTTAGTGAAAATCAAACAAGAGTAGTGAAGATCTTAAGCAAAAATCAAATATAACAATATATAATATCATTGACAATATTTTCTTTATAGTTAATTTCTTTAACTAAATTAAAATATTAACTATATATATTATTAAAATTCATAGATTCTTGATATAATTGATGCAATTGTTTGATATAATTAATTAATTTACTATTAAAATATATAAATAATTAAGATATAGTATAATTATTTTTAAGAATTTTGAGAATTGAGTCAATAACAAATAATTTACATCATATGTATAATATTAATAGAAATGTTAATTTATTTATATAAATTAATTTGAATATTTCACTATATCATAATAAATATTTTTTTTATTAATATTAAATAAAATTATAACCTCTTCAATATTTTAATAAAATTAATTATAAAAAATATAATTAAATTCAAATTATTTAATAACTTTTATTTTACTTTTATACCAATCTCAACTATTATTAATTTATTAACTATAATTATGAACTCTTATATTTAAAGTGAATATAACTTTTTCAAATATATTTTCAAACTAATATCTAATTATCTTAATTTCTTTCTATTAAATATTAAATAAATAATTATAATTATATATGTGATTATATTATTAATCTTTATTATATATAGTAACATAATTTTAAATTGATTTATTATATTTTTAATAGTAATATAGTTTTTAAAAAATATTTGAATTGAATTTCATCACATGTATAATTATAACTGCTTAGGGTTTCTTAACAAGATATATTGTTTTAAATTTTCTTTTCAATATTAGTTAAGTATTATTATAGGCAAGCTAATATTTAACTTATTGTATTTTTACACATGAGAGATGTTATTTCTTTTACAATAAATATCTGACATTATACAAATTAAATAAAGAAATAATGTTTATCTACAAAAAAAAAAGTAATATCATATAAGTTTTGTGTAAGTCCCATGATAACAATTCTAAATTATTATTTATAAAATATTTATTTAATTTTTAATAATATTATTGTTTTTAAAATTATTAATGTATAAAAATATTATTTATGAACTAATTTTATAAAATTAATTTAAATATTGTCAAAACCTTCTTAATTTGTATAATTTAATTATGTAATGTTTTTAAATAAATTATTTATTTATTTTAATTATATTTACTAATATAAATATTATTTATAATATAAATAACTTAAATAAACTTCAAAATTGTATATTATTTATCTAATATTATCTTATATATTTAATTAAAGCCAATAATTTTATTCGATTGTATTTTTATTAATTTATAATATAAGCTTACAAAACTTAAAATTGGTTGATAAAATATGATGTAATTTCTATATATAAAAATTTAGCGCTTGTTATTTAATATAAATATGCCAATATTGAAAAAGCGCTTCTCTATAATTAAATCGTTTCGGAAATAGAGCTGACGATTTATAGCTAAATATACGGTACCTGGAATCCGCACAATTAATAAAAACGGTAATATATAAAGGTATCGTTTTTGATGCCTACGATCATCAATTAATAGGACTAATTTTAGGAATTGTGTAACGGGACAGAGTTGACCGAATAAAACATGTCCAACCAAATAATCCATAATCTACTAAAAAAAAAATAAACAAATGATTTTTTTTTAATCAATATCTGTAATTTTTTATCTAATCTAATGGTAATTGGCCAGCTAATCGCTAATCACATAATCATTGTAGACTTTAATTATGTACGTGTGTACGTATAAAAAAAGGCAACAGATGCATAAACATAAAGTCAATTGTAGACTCTAATTATGTAAGTATGTGAAACATAATAAATAACGGTTTCCCTTATGTGATACAACTAAGTATCATTGTAAGCGCTTCTGCACAGGCGACACATGCCGTAAGGGTGCCACACGAGTGACACATACATAACACCCCACCGCGCTCTGCTAGCTGTATGTCTATATAAGCGTGAGGAAAAAAAACTTCCCGTTTCACTTTTAATCAATAAATTTGACAATATCGATATGAATCGTCAAACTTTTAACATTTTTTTAATTGTTCTTGCAATTTCACTTGCATTAACTATTACTGTTGATGCTAGTTCTAAAAAATGTGTTAAGAAGCCTACAAAACCTAAATGCATATCGATATGTTGTCTATCACTTGGTAGTCCAGGATGGACTAACAAGGTACATGACACCAGTTCATACACACCAAATATTAATGCCACCACTGCTCAAGATTGTTGTGATTCATGTGTTGATGATCCAGAATGCCTTGAATGGATTTTTGGCACTGAATCTGGGTGTAATCGTATTTACAACTCGAATCCTCTCGAAGATGTTTGTTTAAGTATCATGACAGTTCCAAGCGGCATATTAGATCCAGATAGTCAAGGTGGTGTTATCCGTTGTAGTAACAGCAATGAATGTACTTAAGTGAAATAAAATATATTGAAACTACCGGTTGAAAAAATTCAAGATATGGGTAATTATTTTTGAAGGCAACAAAAATGCTAGATATGATTTTTTCGAACTCAACTTTTAAACAATACATATATATAAATTTTAGGATCAGAAAATTTCCGAAAATAATTATCCATATACAGTAGATCTATTCATTCGATTTAATTGTTACTATTTTTTTTAGGATTATAGAAAATTTTTGTCTATTTTCATTTGTGTATTTAATTTACCGTATTTATTTTATTTACAATAAAAAATTCCTTTACTAATTTAAACAATGTTACAGTTTCTTATGATTGTTAATATACTATTTTTTATAATTTGTAATAAATTAAAGTTTAATTTTATTGAAATAAACAATATTTAGAAGCTTTAAACTAGAAAAAATATTTTTAAAATTATGTTTTTATAGAAGTATTAATTTGTTTAATTGATAAATAGTTTAAAAATTTTTTTCTAATTATTTTTGAAATAAAATTTACAAATTTTACATATACTGTATATATTTATTTATTTAATATTTTTTAAAAAATAATTTATAAAACACTTAAATAATCCAATTATAAAAATTTTTGTAATAGTTTGTTATTATTATTTTTTTAGAAGACAAAACAATTATTGTATCCTTTTTATTTTATTATAATTTTAAACTTGGCAAGACAAAATTACAATTTCATTAAAATAATATTAGAAAAAATTTAATATAAAATTTAAAATTTGATTTATTGATTTATGTTTAGAATAATATTCAAAAAATATAGTAAAATAAATTTTAAAATCTATATTAAAGCCTTGAATAGTATTTAGTTATCTAAAAATAATTAAATATTTAATTACATAAAAATATTATAACTAAGTATATAAATTTGGTTTTTAAAATATATTTGATATGTAATAAATAAAATATAAATAAATATAAATTATAAACTATTTCAAACTTTGATATAATAATTAAAAAAAAGTTAATCTTTTATTTAATATGTCTAATATTTATTTTTTACTTACTTATTAAAAATTATGATTAAAAAAGAAATAACTAATTTTATTATTGAAAAAAAAAGTTTTTTATTTAATATACTTAATATTTATTTTTTTTTATTTATTAGAATTTAAGATTAAAAAAAGAATAATTAATTTATTTAAATAAATATATTACTTAAAATAAACTATTTAAACAATTAAATTAAATTATAATTATAATTATAAAGTAAATTAAAATTAAAACTTAAATAAATATTTGATTAATTATTAATTAAATATAAAAAATTTAAATTTTTTTAAAAAACTTTTTTTGTATTTATTTATATTTGACAAAAACTATATAAAAAAAACATAAAATTTTTATCTTTAAAAAAATTATAAAAACTTTTGGAAATTTTTTTTCATTTTTTAAATATTAACTTATTAAATTAATTTATATTTTACTTAATATCTTCATTACTGATATTAACAAATATTTGGCTATAATTATTTATAAAAATATAGTAATAATACAAATATAATTTATATTATTAGTTGATTGCCTTAAAAAAACTTTTTCTATATATAACTTTTTTCTTAAAAATTTCTTTTTTTAATAATTATCTTTTAAAATTAAAGAAACAAATATTTTTTTTATCTTTTAATATTTTAAAGTTCTTTATACATTCTTTACCTTTACTATAAGAACCTCAAGAAAATTAAAAAAATATACTAGTACATTGAAATAGAACCTCTAGTCAAAGAAAAGCAAGTTTAAGAATCTTGCTTTTCTTAAATTATATAAGAAAAGATCTATAGTAATTATTTTTTTATAAATCTTTCTTAATGTTCTTTCTATTTTCACCTTTTACAAATACACATTTCTTATTAAATAGCTATATTCTTTTCTTGAAAATATTCTTTGTAAATAAAAAAAAAAAACTATATATTAAAAATGTTTATTTATTTTTTTTTTTAATCCCACAATCAAGTTGGTATCATTTATTTATTAAATCATAGAGAACCATTATACATATGAAAATATATGCAAAGTACAAATTTATTTGACCCAACTCACACATCATTAGTCGAAACCTTTAGATGTGATTTAATAGAAGTAATATATTGTTCCTCTAAAGGATAGGATTAATATCCTGAACTTCTGATAGAATTAGCATCTGCAGATCATTTCCATAGTCATGACCATAAATATAAATTATGTCATTCTCTCTTGTAAAAACTAAGCAAGGGAAAAAAGGAATTAAAAAAAGAATTTTTTGACAAAGAAAAAAAAGAAAAAAGCTATTGTCTATTCTAACTATTATTGAAAAGATTATCTTAACAAACTTAAAACCCAAGCCCTTATGGTTTCCCATTTTTCATCACCTGTAACAATCAAACTGTTTAATTTTCAATGGAATAGTCGATGTCCAAGAATGTTTAAGGGCACTTTCAAAAGAGTATTTCTTGAAACTTTTTGCTTGAAGATTTTTAACCAGAAAGAATATTGGTTTTCTATTATTGATTTCTCTCCCAAGCCATGTCTTCTGAAATTATAGTTTTACTCAACCAGTGAATAGTTTCAAGATCCCTTTTTTCAACTATTTTCAGAATAGATATTGGTACTTCGACTTGTTACCAGATTGGAATAGGACCTA